TAAAAAAAAAGATCAAATAATACAAATATATGAAAGATGCATAAGATAACAGTAAGGAACTAACCGTTTTTTCAACTTAGGCCTTGCATTCATGGAACATTCCTGTGGAAGAAGATAAAACATGAGAACAAGCAATAGAAAACTTATCAATGCACACTAATAAGAACAAACTACATTTATTCTGCGCAGCAAATCCATGGCCTGGGCAGTATTATCGTTTCCAGTAGCCTCACTGTAACAAAAACAAAATGGTGATACAGAAGTTAAAGTGGAGTTGGTCAAATAAACTACCTTTGTGTTAGCATATAAAAAAACAGAACGTACGTCTTAACTTCAGGCTTCGGCGCTCGACACGGGGGAGCTTTGGGTGCAAATCTCATCTGCAGCAGATTAAACCAATCTATCAGAATATCAAGCAGGAAAAGACACTATATTCAATCAACTGAAGAGGAAGCATGAAAACAGACCTTCCTGGGTGCATTAGTTTTATTGTTAAGCGATCCTGGATCCATCCTTCTCAATATAGATCTTCAAATGACAAAAGAAAGCAGAGTTACTAAGTAGTTATTCATTGAATCCTTGTAGCATGCCTACTTTTCTATTTCAACACATACAGATCCAAGCAAATCTAGAATGAAACAAAAATTCATACAAATGAGTAGAAGATGATTACAATATGGAGTTGCCCTAACCCTGGTCACAGCAGGCTTAGAATGCAAAATTAGAAATGGTCTAAATAGACAAAATGAATAAGAAAAATCAAGCACAATATAGGAAGGAACCAGGCACCTATATCATCGGGTTAATTCTTGATTAGGGCCTAAAGTAAAGTGCATTAGCTAGGTTTTTACGTGCATGTGAAATCCACAAGATCAAATTTCCAAAAAAGGTAAAAAATTTCAAAAAACTCCTAGATCACGTAATTGGGGAATATGAATATGGGAGAGGTCCTGAACTATAGAAAGTCTTTTCCTTTCTCCCAAAAGAACTTTTCTCGACTGAGTCCTGAACGATGGGAAGTCTTCATTTCAATGCCAATGTTCGTTATTAGGCTCTAGTTGATCTCAACTTATTCTCAAAAACAAATGCATGCAAGTGCGAACAACAAAAGGAGGGGAAGAAAAAATCAAAAGGAACACGAGGTAAAAAGAATCACTTATGTTTATTTCCCCCTGAAGTAAAATGAAGCAAATACACAATATACAAACTACATATATACATATAATAGCCACATTCATTTTACTCACGATTCAAATATCAACTTCGAGTGTACGGTAATGTACAAAACAAATCATGAGATCAATACTAAAAAATGAATAGAATCTGAACGTAGATGATAACATGCCTTTAGCTTTAACTGGCAAGAACAATGCCATATTAAGTAACCCAAATCCTCAAACCCCGAGTCCATTTCTATGCTTAATCTAAACCACAAGCAATACAAAGTTTACACGATTTTCAAAGTTCGAACTAAAATTTAAATGGAACAAGATTATCCCCAGAGGACATATGAATGGAGAATGGCATAAAAGAGCAAGAACATATTTGAAAAAGAGGAAAACGAGAGTTAGGGATTGAAAAAACACCTGCTAGAAGTAAACGAGAGATATTGCGTGTGGAGGTCTAGAGCGTGAGGTCCTAAGAAAGTGAACCGCTGTGAGACCTGTCTGCTTCGGCCTCTCTTTCTTCAAATCAAACAGATGACACGGTTGGAGAGAGTGAGGGAGCGATGCAGAGTTAGGGGGAAGGGGGAAGGGGGAAGGGAGAAGGGAAGGGAAGGGAAGGGAAGCAGAGAGAGGAGCAACCGCTGCCTGTGATCAGTGAAGAAGAGAGCTCAAATATAAATATGCAAGGGTTTGAGGAAAAAGGGAAGAAAATTATTCTTTTATTATTTCTTCTTTCCTGTTTTGTTCTCTTTTCTTTTTTTATTTTTGAAAAGAAACTCTCTTTTCTTCGGTTTTCTCTCTTTTTGCATTTATTATTTTTTAATTATTTCTTTTTTATAAAAAAAAAATGTAAAACTCAAAATTAGATTTAAATTATAAAATTATAAGAAATTGCTAAAAGTAAGATATGAAGATCCGTGATGGTTTAAGAATAGAAAATATGAAGAACTTTGGACTTTATTTCCTATAAAAACTATTCTCTAATCTACAATTTAGAAATTTTAAATTAATTTTGAAAATAAATTGTTTGTTGGTGGCAAAAAATTATTTTCTAAAAATTAAAACTATAAAAGCCGCAGCTAGTAAATTTATTCTCTCTTAACAATATTTTTACATTAGTTGTTATTTTATTATTTTAATATAGATAATGATAAATTAATCACTTCAATTCAATATGAAAAAAAATTATTTGCGCATTTTATAAAATACTTAAGTGTTGTAACTGCCCCGAACTTAAAAATAAATAAAATTATAAATTGAATACAGAAGCGGAATAATAGAATTAGGGTTTACATTCCTTACACAATAGTTTAAAATATCCAATATGGATATGAGAGTGTCCCTTTAAACGAATAAACAAAAATTAAAGAAATAAACGAAAAGTAAACAACTGAGCATCCTAAAACAACTTTCACTAACTTTTAAAAGAGTCCGGATAGTAAACTATTCACAATTCTCTTGTCGATCGAGATATACATCTGGATCTTCTTTGTAGTGCCCGGAAAGGAGGAGAAAAAAAAAAAAAAAAAAAAAAAAAAAAAAAAAGAGGGGGGGGCCACGTCAGCAGCCACGTCAGCAGGCCCGGTCAGCAGTCCCGGCCAACCGGGGCCTGCCACGTGGCAAGATCGCGTCACTCCGAAAGGAGCCACGTTGGCGATCCGCGTGGGTGCGATCCGACGGCCCAGATCAATCACGCGATCGGACGGCCCAGATTCAAACGCACGGACGGCCCAAATTCAATCAAAAACGAACGGCCCAAATTAAAACGAAACGAACGGCTGTGATCAAAAGGCAAGGGGTTATAAATAGAACCCCCACACCAGACCAAAAACCCTAGCCGCCAGCCGCTCGCCGGAAAAGACGAACCAAAGGCCGACCGCCGCCACCCGCCGCCACTCGCCGCCGCACCGGGGAAATTTCCGACCGCCGATCGAGGTAAATTTCATACCCCCGACTCGTTTTTCCCCACTAATTCCTCCTATGGCCAAATCGAAGCCGAAATCCCGGCCAAACGGCCGGAATACGCGGCCGAAGCCCAGCGGCGCCGCCGCGCCCCCTCTCGGTTTTTGCCTCCGACGAGGCCTTTCCCGGCCTCCGTTCGATGCAATTTTTATATCACCGTGATCACCATTCTTTTCTCTACAGGTTGACCGAAGCCAAATCACCAAAACACGAACTTCGCCGGAGAGTCGCCGTACCCGAGTGCGCCGCCGCCGGTAAGCTCCGCTTTTCCGTGATTTTTTGGCCCCCCGAGGGCCCTAGGGTTGTTTTCTGACAAGGACCAATGCGAGTGTGGCCGAATTCGGCCAAAAACGGCCGAAAACAGTCAACCCGAGGCGACTCGCCGCCGCCAGCGGCGGCGCCGTCGCCGGAGCACGGCGGAGCCGCCGTGCCGGAGTTGCGATTTGGGCCGAAAGAGGCCCTGGACCTAATTTGGAATTTTTTTGGAACCCGTGCAGGTACTGTTAGCGTGTTTCAGTTCCCCGGGAAAAATTCAGGGAAAATTAGGGACAGCCTGCAGGCGCACTGTGAATCGTATTCGGATCCCGAAAACAAGTAAGGACCCCTCACCCTATTTTCTATCACGGTATTAAAGTTCAATAAATGATAAAACGGTATTTCATGAACCAACGAATGTGTGAAATTGCTTAAGGTTGCTAATGGAGCCCGAGTCTAGTGTGATTGATGATTTACTGTTATTTGGCCTGTTTACAGCTTTAAATGCAAAATGAGGTTTGATGTGTTCATTTTACAGATTTGTGTGCATGTACTACGTTTTTATTAATTATGGGTTGAATGACTGAAAAACTGATACTGTATGTTGTCTGTTTGGTATGAATTACGATTTGCTTGTTTAAATG